TTATATATAAAGAAAACGTATATTTGAATTAGTATTTTAAACGCATTTATTATTTATAATATATATATATATTATTATTAATTATTATTTTTTAATAAACCATATTCGTTTTGACTTCGAAAGTGTGTTTTCCGAAGTAGGACCTGAGTAAATAAATAAACATGTTTTATCTTTAACTGTTTTCTTTGTTTTTATTTTTGTAACCTAGGCAACCAAACTTACTTATTAAACCTGAGTTATGAATATTTAGGTTCTTGATACCAGTTTAGAATTTTATATTATGATCAAATTATAATGTACTGTCAATAATGTAAGTAGTTCAAATTTATTTTTAATAATAATTAATATTTACCATTATGTCAGAGGTATTCAACCATTTTGAAATCGACGCCCACTTTTCAAATATGAAAATTGATGCAATTGTTTAAAATAATCCAAACTTATAACACTTTGTTAGATAATTGCAAAACTTCTCTGTTTTGTCGTTAGAATAAAAAAAAATGTTAAAACTAAGAGTTTTAAGACAGTTTTCGGTTTGAGTTTTAATTAATATTATTTTAATAGTTATTGTAATACTTACAACACAAATATAGTTATAACTATAACTATTATCAAGTGCTATTGACCATAGTTTTTCTGCATACAATTTAACATTTAATTTAAATACTTCATATATCATCAAACTTCAATTCGTTCTGACTGAATTTAGACTGACAATCTACAAAAAATATTATAATACTCAAATTTTAAGCATTAGTTATATAAACATTAGTTATATATAACTTAACTATTCATCAAAATTATTAAAAATATGTATTGCAACAATCTTAAAATAGAAGTATGAATTAAATAAAAACATTTCATACAATTATAATTAAACTAAAAGTTAACTGCTGCAAAGGGCTGTAGTCCACTGCAATGGGACAACTTTTCTTGAGCATGTAGTTAATAGTATTATGAGTAATTAGAATTGAATTAAGAAGAGTTTTTAATTGTTGTATTGGTAACAAAAGTATCTGAACATGCTATGAAAATATCAATATATCGTACTAATCTGTATTAGAATTAGTAGTTCAATGTATGATATATGTGTATACTTAAATTAAGCTGTAAAAAGTAATATTTGGTAATGATGGTTGGAAACCACTGGTGCATGTCATCCATGTTGTGAGTTCTTTGAAGGTTGGTAAGAGCTGGATGGTTGGTAGCTTTGGATGTCATTGAACAAGGCAAGTATGTGAAGTTGTGTGAAGTGTGTAATCAGTCGAAAAGGGGCAGCGGTTAACGAGACTCGTGCGCGCGATTCCAGTGTCTGTGATATTGTAACAAAAAAAAAAAAGAAGAGAGAAACACTTCGTGAGCCCCATAGATCTGAAACGAAGAGTGATCAGTTAAAAATCGTCAGCGGATTTCACTGGTAGTAATTTGGGTATAGCCTATCGCGGAGAGGTTGCTCCTCTGTTTTTGAGAGAGTGTGCGGTGTCGTCGGTTCGGTCCTGGCTGTTCCCGTCACTCGCTTGCATGCGTATGTGTGTATATGTCGATTGCATTCGCACACACACATACACACACACACAATAATAGTTCGCCAAATGTAACATGGCTGCCCGATAGGAGAAAGAGTGGAGTGCATTAGCTCCGATCGGCTCAGCTCAGCACGCACCAACCAACACCACGAAGCAGCGAGAAGCAACAAAGGCCGACAGCGCGCGTGCTGCGATCTTTATTTTTTGTTCATTTCGTTCTTCGTTTTCCCCATTGTCCATCCAGGAGGAGGCAGGCCAGCCCGACGAGTAGTGCTTGTTGGGACACCCCCGAATCTTCGCGTCTCCTTCACAAGAAGCACCTTCGTAACGAAAATACCCATTCGCCCGCCCAGGCACCGCACGCAGAAGACCTTCTTCTTCAGATTTTCTTCATAACCGCCGTGCCGACAAATAACAAGGAGTCAACATGGAATTGAGGGTAGGCAACAAGTACAGGCTGGGCAGGAAAATCGGCTCCGGATCCTTCGGAGATATCTATCTAGGTGAGATACACTTCATAAACAAAGCCACCTATCTTCTCGTTCTCTCCTTTAACCGAACCTATCCGCCTTCTCGCTCCCATCCTCGTTCGTCCTTCTCTCTCTCCACTTGCACTTGCAACAAACAGGAAATTGTTGCCTCTTTTTGCTTGATTTTCTATATTAATAATCCCCCACACACTCTTCAATACAGTTACAGCGTGTTCTCTTAGTTTATCGAGTGATAAACGAACTTGCACGTTCGATATTTGTTTATAAATAACTTCTATTGTTTACACTGGTCATTTTCTATATACTCTGCTGAGCAAACAAATTTTATCCATATTCAACTCTTAATATTCACCACCTGTAATCCAAACACAGGTTTCATTAAGAATATCCACATTACACATCTATTTATAAATTCACTTTTTATTCCTACTAATGTTTATTTATTTGTCCAAAAACCCTCAGGATCATACACATTTTGAATCATGAACAAAACAAAGTATTGGTCTTTCTGCAATCATAATATTACTGAATTACTCAGTGAAACAAAGGAGTATGAATATATTCCATTATTTACTGAAATTAATAATATTTAAGTCTGGACAGACTATTATCCAAGAAGAGACTATTCTTGGAAACTTGTATGATTTGGATGGAGAAAGTAAGAGACAAAATTTAACAAATCCTTATTTTACCAAAAAATATACAGTGAGTCATCGTCTTAATCATTAAGAAGTACTGTGAAATATATAGTGACTCTTAGACTTTAGTAACTTTAATATATCGAATATAAAAAAAAATAGAATTGGAGCAGAATTAGCTTTGAGTCAACAAAGTAAATACCAAAGTTTATATACCCACTATGATTTCTGTAATTGAAAAACGTTCAAAGTAATGATCATCTATTAATTGGATTAGGTTTTAATTACTAGGATGTTCGTAATTGTGAAGTACGCTTTATGTGTATACTCCATAAATATACTGCAGTGAATAACCAAAACGGCTATGGTACTAACGGCGGATACTATGAATTATGTGGTGAATCAAAGAACGCATGAGAAACTTTGATATTGCCATCATCCTTGCGTGAAGTAATTTCCACGATGATGCATGACGATATATCCACAGTGGGTCATTAAAGTATTTGAACGAATCAGCGTAACTCGAGGACTTGTACTATATTTACACACCATTTCTAGTTGTGTAATACAAGAATGACGGGGGTCTTAGTCTTGAAAAAAAAATGGATGTTTAAATTAGGTTATGTATTTGGTTTTGTAACCTAAAAAATAATTTGTTTAGAGAATATCATGTAAGTGTGGTTAGTATATTGGGTTTGTAATGTAACCTACAGAACTACAAAGATATATTTGGTGTCTGATGCGTTTTAGTAATATCTTTGATAATTTGAATTTGATAATGAAGTTGCTTTGAAATTAATTCCAAGACTTTGAATATACAGCTTTAATTAAAGGGTTAGTCTCAAATGTTGCAGTTACACTAGTATGGCTGTCCTCAGGGTAAGTCATGTCTGCAAAACAGGAGATCCAAGAAGCTGCTGTGTTTATAACATACTACATTTACAAAGGCAACAGTACAAGTCCATCTATTATATGAACATTTTCATGAATGTACAAATTCTATATAAAAAGTCACATTTTCAACAATTTTTATAAATAGAAAATAATTCTTTTATTTTACAAGAACAAGTTTACTACACTTGTATGTGAAATATATGTATATAAAAAAACTTATTTGCAAACGATTATTTAGAAATATCAACATTCATTGAATCTTTATGGTTATTGGCCGATGGTTTCAGAATTTTAAATATTAACAAAAGTATATGAGTTCAATATAATGCGAAGAACAGGTCTCAAGGTTTACCGTCATTTAACTATGCCGCGTTAACAAAATTCATTCACATTTCCACTGCATATATAGATTTCACCACCTGTTCCAGTAATCAAATCGACATTCAACAAAAGTTGGCCGGCTATCGAGTTTTATGTCGCATCATATATAAAATACAACGAAACTGACTTAAAAAAGTATGTGCAAAACAAACATAATTAAAATGTTTTCAACGTATATAAATATTGTAATTAAGAACGCAAATTTAGAGAATGTCTTCTTAATTTAAAATTGATTGTTTTACTGAAATTCTAATGGTTATTCGAAAATTGCAGTCATTATGCTTGAAAGTATTCTAATGACTCTAATTCCATAATGTTGCTTCATTTCTGTTAAATTTTAAGTACAAATAATACGAGACATTTTCTTTTTTTGTTGTATTTGATTTGTTTCTTTAATTTCTTTTAAGTACTAAAGTATTCTGCACGTAATACATTTCATAGGTTATGCTGAAGACGATAATTGCAGTATTGATTCTTGAATTCATTTACTAAACTTATAGTTTCGATCGTTTTATGCTACAATTTTAATTTTAGTATTTATCAATGTTTACGATAAAATTATTTTTAGTAAACAATTATTGTATTTTTAAAATGTCAAGTACGCTTTTGTTTCATTGTTTAACTGGCTTTGTGTTAGAAATATTTAAATTCTATTTATAATTGCTTGAGATTCTTACCCATTGAGCACACTAATATCTCTTATGTACATATTTTTACTTTGCATATGAGCAGCAATAATTATCGTATTATTAACATGTATTAAATTTCTTATTATGTTTCGTTGAATATTGAAACTAGTAGTACTCCATTATACTAAAAGAAAATGAAATTTTTCTTTAAATTATTCACTTTTCGTTTTCGAATAATAGTAAATTATTATTTGATTTGACCAAGAAAAACGTTGTAAAAATGCTTCTTGATGTGAACAAAACGATCAATAAAAACGGTCTGTTGAATATATGAATTGACTTTCATTCATTACACTTTACTAAAGTTATGAATTTGGTTATATAATGCGCAAAGAAGCTGTGTAGTATACGAAATGTAGGAAATATTTGTGGAATACAAAACACCTGACGTTGGGATCAGGTATCTTGATTCCTTAATTTTGGGGACGACTACCTGAATATACATAATACAATCTTTTTCAACAACCATCGAGCAGTTTCTTCTAGACTTCATATTTTCAAGTAGTATTTATAAATCAACATAAATATACGCACGTTATTTTTCAATAAACACTCGTATGCTGATGCAACAAAAAACATATTTGAAAATGATGACTATCGACATTCGTCTGGTTTCAAGAAATATTATTGTATATTTATATATGAATTGCAAAAATATGAATAGTAAATGTTATATAACAAATTCTAAACTAAAGAAAAACATTTCTTGTGTTTAATTTCTATTATGATATAGAATAAAGAAGTTAAATATAAAAGATAATAAAAGAGAGTACGAAAAGTTTAAGTTTAAGAAAAATGTAGTCTGTGAGAACGTCGGCACCTGTAAAAGGTTAAAAATGCAGAGAAATAGTTTCTGAACCAAAGGTTCCAGCTGTTCAGGTAGTTAAACCACTTAAAGAAAAAGGTATGATTTTTTTAATGAAACTGCGGATGAATGTATAGATTTGCCGGAAGTATTAAAATATTCCCTTCAGTCCACCGCATCTTTTGTTACACTATACTTCTTCAATATAGGATCACCGATTTACTAATGTATATTCGTAATAAGTATTTGAAATATACAGTTAATATACAATATATATTCTGGTAACTAGTGTTGCACGTGCAAAGGACATATTTGCATGCACTTCAAACCTTTTGTCATTATTCTATTGATCGTTTTATTTTAAATTGGCGCTCGTTGTGGTAAAATAACGACGATGCAAATAAACACCAATAAAGTTGTTTGATCTGTCGTCGAATATGAATACAATTACGTTCGGATATCGTTAGTATTATTAAAAGAATGTATATAAAGAAATACTGCTAAGGTAACCAGACCTCAAACTATACAAAATTAACGGTCGAAGGACGTTTTGTTCGATGGCCTATCGAGAGGTTAACCTTCTAAGAAGTACAGACGCTTGTAATACTACTAATTTCCTTTCTGTACGAAATAATACAATAGATCAAATTTTTCAAGAAAGTGTTCCAAAATATTGAAAAATATGCGTATATAATCAGTGCAGAACACTATGTTTATTAACGTCATTAATCGATGATGATAATGTATGTACATTGATAAAGAAACTTGGTTTAAATGAAGCTCTTATTGTTTAGCATCTTTATGGAAGACAATGTCTTTAGTAGTAGTTTTGAAATAAACCAGCAAAATTCTATTAAAATGAGAGCTCCACTTAGACTTAAAGGCGAACACGCCCAACGCCGTCCAGTGTTCTATCGTCGGTTCAACATCAAGGAAATTTCTATAGAAATGCTTTAACCCGAGAAGAACTAGGCCTTAACAATTATTATAAAATTCATGCACTAAAGTAAAAAAAAAAGTTCTTTTTAATCGATTAAAATGAAATGGGCAACTGTAAAATACGGAACTTTCAATAAATATTTTATTGAACTTTAAGGTATGGAATATCCGTTATGTTCTTCAATAGCTAAAAGGTTTTCCTATTGACCAACAAGGTCAATCCTTCGACTTTCTGCATATTTAAATCATAATTATTCACATCATACATTGACATTAACAAATAATTATCAGTAAATCTTTATATGAAGTGAGTTAATTACAATATAAATTACTTGGCATATTGGATATTTTAAGTTTTTATTTTGTTTTTAATATTAATGTTTTATTTTGTTTGTTTTGCAGGAACAAATATTTCGACTGGGGAAGAGGTAGCAATAAAATTAGAATGTCTGAAAACGAGACATCCGCAATTACACATCGAATCAAAATTCTACAAAATGATGCAGGGCGGAGGTAAGTCACTTTTAGTTTTGGGTGTTCATCGTTTGCATATCGTTATTGCTGCGATTCAAATAATTGATATTGCTCGTCTCTTTTCCTCCCTCCAATGTATTGACTTGTACCACTAAAAATAACTTGCCATTTAAAATACTTACCATTTCCGGTATAACCTGAATATAGAATATACCGTTCGGTCGGAGGCGAATTTATGAATGTTAAGTAATAGTTGTTTCGAGATATTATTAATTTATTATAGTTTCTTTCTTTTACGAGCAATTAATGATATGCATCGACTGGCACACAGCCCCCCAGGCGGCTGTAAACAGTAAATGAGGGTGGTTACATGTCTGGTAAAATTATTGATTTCTTTTTCCCCCCAAGTTGGTATACCTCAAATTAAATGGTGCGGCTCCGAAGGGGACTACAATGTTATGGTGATGGAGCTATTGGGTCCGTCGCTGGAAGATCTCTTCAATTTCTGCTCTCGCCGGTTCTCATTAAAGACTGTACTGCTCCTAGCCGATCAGCTGATATCTCGCACTGATTTTATACATTCTCGCAACTTCATCCATCGTGATATTAAGCCCGACAACTTCCTCATGGGCTTAGGGAAGAAGGGCAATCTCGTTTATATCATTGACTTCGGACTTGCGAAAAAGTACCGCGATGGACGGACGCATCAGCACATTCCTTACAGGGAAAATAAGAATTTGACAGGAACGGCTCGGTATGCCAGCATAAATACCCATCTGGGCATCGAGCAGTCTCGCCGCGATGATCTGGAATCATTGGGCTATGTGCTCATGTACTTCAACAGAGGATCATTGCCTTGGCAAGGGCTAAAGGCGGCGACGAAGCGTCAAAAATACGAGAGGATTTCCGAAAAGAAGATGTCCACGCCCATTGAGGAATTGTGCAAGGTTTGCATCGCATCGCCCTTAATAGAATTCTTTCCATTATCCATAATGTTTTGTTTTATTATATTTTTGTAGGAATATCCAGTTGAGTTCCCGACTTACTTAAATTACTGCCGGCAGTTGAGATTCGAGGAGAGACCCGACTATAGCTATTTAAGACAACTATTCCGCACCTTGTTTCATAGACAGGGGTTCACTTATGATTACGTGTTTGATTGGAATATGCTCAAATTTGGTACGGTTTACTTGTGCTATTGTGTTCTTTGAGTGGACTGGAATTACATTTTTTTTAATATATTGTTGGGCAGGTGTGTCAAGAGGTGCTCACGGCGAAGAAAGCGGCAGGTCAGGAACGAGATTTACACACGCGCCAACGACTGGTGAGACCGCTCCTCAGACTCGAACCAGAAGGCAGCCCCACGAGAGGGTGGAGCTGATGCCAAACAATGCAGCTGCTCCAAGTCCGTCTGACGATGTTATTACCAGCAGTAAGTTATCATATGCCTCTGAATCTTTGTTTTTCATTTAATTACAATCTCTTTTTCTTTTCCAATGCAGATATGACCCGTTTGTTCGATAACTATGAAAGACGCGTATCGACGCGGCTTCGTGCCGTGCAGGGCGGTCCGAATGCCTCCACCTCCGATTTGAGTAACACGAAGCAAGCCAAGTGAGTTGCTTTGACGTAATACTAGTTGCATACACATTATTCATTGCACATTCATTGGCGGTCCATTCACATAAGGATCGTTGGAATACACCCCGTTCAAAATCTGTAAATACATTAGTATTAACGTTCTTATCTTTTAAGTGTAATATGTCATACACTAATTATTAAATCTAAGAATACACATTATATTTAATAGTTAAAGTTATTTATTTCGTATTATTGTTTAAAGTTGTTGTATCTGACAATTTGTGTATTTATGAATTAATTAAGTAAATTAGATATTCGTAAAAATTTTAATAATTTGTCATAAAATGACTTGCTGAAAATTTGTTTTCATTAGGTTCTACTGCATTACAAAGAATTATTTTTCAATGCAGGAAGAGTAATAAATGAAGTGTTTGTATTTGAACAATTCAGGATTTGACAATAATAATTCTAAATATATCTAAGATGAATTGCAGATTTTGATGGGTGCATAAAAAGAAAACACCTTACGTGTCTGGCATGCTCGCCAATCCGCTATGAATTGAGAAAAACAACAGTCGCACGTCACGCTCATTTCCATTCATTGCAATCGTCGATGATGTACGAAATGTTGGTAATCCGGGGGGAAACCTATGATATGATGTTTGTTTTATTTTGGAAGCGCCTCCGGAGTGGCAATGGCCCCGCCCAGCCAGACGTCGGGGGCGGTTCAGGGCGGCCCGCCTAGGAGGGGGAGCGCCTCCAAGGAGCCCCCGGCCCGTTTAAAAAAATGAGCAGACGGAGCGCCGCCACCCCCAAAGACACCAACAATCACACCTCCTCGTTGCTGCCCTAACAAGCGACGCTCGAGTGACTCGTGCAATATGTCGCGGCGCAAGAAACTAAGAGATTGAAGATTATTGCGTTGATTTCTCTTGTTGTTCTGTTCATGATTATTCTCTTATATTATTTTTGTCATTTTCTAATTCTTTATTTAACTCCTTCACGTAATTGTTTTTATATATATACATATTCTATATTTCGTGTATCTAATTGTGAGTATGCACGCGTGTAAGAGTGCAAGTTGTATGACTGTAACGATAATTAAGGTAAAAAAAGAAACTAATAATGAAGATGTAGCGAATTTCGTTTATAGTTACATTATTTTTTGTATATATTATACATATATAAATATAAATTTAGACTGATTTGATGCGACAGGAAGGAAAAAAATCAAGAAAAAAAAATACTATTAAGATTTTAGTTATTGTTTTATTTTCGTTCAAAATAAATCACATACAAAATAAATACTTTAATAAAAATAAATCAGCATCAACATAAAGGTAAACTAAATATAAACTAGCATTGTAAAACTATACTTGGGTGTTCATATTATTGCTTTTAATTTATTTGATTTCTTAATAACTAGATATTCGTCGAGTGTCGTATTCGTGATGAAACGAATATTTCCTATATGAGATTTTATTTGAGGTTTCCATACAAATTGTATTAAGAAAGAAATAACTAAAAAAAAAACATTGCTTAAGTTAAGTGTAAATAAACTCTACGACCATGTAAATATAATCTTCTCGTTTGTTTTATTATTATTTTTTTTCTTGTTATCGTAATTATATAAAAGAAGCAAGCTACACGCAAACAGCGACTCGATATCGATAAACATTATTTTATATTCATTAATTTAGTATGGTTGTGTCGAAGCAGTAAACAGAAGAGTGAATTGTATTTATCAACGGTTATTGTTTTTTCTATGACGAAGTAAGAAAAAAATAATTCAATAGAATAAACAGACTGAACTTGCTGGATTCCTCTCGTTTTGGAAATATCAATTGTGTCGTTCCAAGTCGAGTCCAAACCCAGAGCGCAGTCTGTTTATACATATTTTGCTGATCCTACTATGTGATTGTAACCTGTATATATTTTATAGAGTCCATAGGGAAACGAAGGAAATTGCATTGTTTCATTTACATTTTTTGTTTTATACCTTTTGTGATAAGTGCGTCTATTTCTAAATGTGTAATAGATTTCGTGCTAATAAGTACATATACATGATGATTCGAAAAGAAAAAGGAACAAAAAAAAAGATTGTATAACTACTTTGTACATATAAACTTTTATTATGTTTTCAGTTACAGCTTTGTAACACATGTTTTTTTTTTATATATGTACCTCCTTTGTATGATTAAGTTTCTTTTTTTTTGTAAATACTACAAATTCGTATAAAAACAAAGAAATAACAAACATTAATAAATGGTAATTATTAAGTTTTCATTATAGTCTCAACTGAAATCCCTTCCTCTTTCCGAAACGTAAATAAAGTTGGTGATAGGTAAGTTATTAATGAATTGCGTGTTGTCTGAATAAAGCATATTTTAATCTTCAATAGATAATATCAAGTTTCGAATGAGTATACAAGATCGGAGTTAATGTGGTCATGCTTTTGGATAGTCTCCATGACTTTCAAGAGGTTCTTGTCTTTGGCTATCTGCAAGGCTGTTTTCCCTTCGGAATTCTTGATCCTAATATCCGCCCCGCCTTGGGTTATAAGTAAATTAACAATTTTTGGGTCATTCTTGGAGCAGGCACTGTGTAACGGGGTGTTTCCTCGGGAATCCGTTGCATCAATCTTGCACGATCCGCACTGTATGAGTTCCAAGACAATGGATGATCGCTGTTGATGGCACGCTAAGTGCAATGGAGTGTAACGACTTTTATGTGTAACCATATTTACGTCCGCCCTAGAGTCCAGCAGGATCCTCAAAATCTCCTTTCTACCGAACCTAGCCGCCACATGGAGTGCAGTAAGACCATCGCAATTCGTGGAATTAATATTGACCAGTTGTTTACGAGTTTGCGTTTCTGGGGTCAATTCTGTGCACGATTCGCAATTACATAAAGGGTGGCAATAGTTTACGGTGGTCGTCTGCACCAAGGGATTGGCTATTCCCAAGTAGAAGCAGCACAGTTGCAGGTCGTTGTTCTCAATGGCTTTGAGTAGTAAATCAGTCTTCTTGAAATGGTCCAAATTTTTGGTGTTTGCATTTTTCTCTCGCACTATTTTTGCGTCTTCGATCTTCTCGTACTTTTGACTATTCAATAAAATATCTTTCACGTAAAAGTTGTGCGCCAAATCCAATGCAATTTGATTGCGTTTATTCTTTATAGTTGCGTCTATATGATATTGCAATAAAGTGTTAACTATACCGAGGAAGCCCCAATTTGAAGCCAGATGAAGAGCGGTATCACCTGAGCTGTTTCGTCGATTCACATCTATTGGAGTATTCTTCAGTTCGGCGTAAAACAGTAAGGCCTTCACGCAATTCTCGTGACCGTTTTCAGCTGCTAAAAGTAAAGGACTATCGCCATCATCATTAGGACTGTCTATGTCTCCTCCGTTGTGCATCAAGAGCAACAACGCGTTTTGATGACCAAAGCTAGCTGCATAATGGATAGGTTTCGAATTGGAGTAATCAATTTCGTTTATATCAACAACATTCTTGTGGAGCAAAAACTCAACAATATGCGGATGTCCGTAAATGCATGCGAGATGCAGGCAATTCCTCGCTTTTGAATCTTTCAGGTTGAAGGCGGCTTCGCATTCGTCGCACGCGCACAGTGGATGACATAACTGATGTCCTCCCCTCATTTTACGACCATCGAAGATACCAGCAACTCCATCCAAGTCTCCCACTCGAATCATATTCAGTAAATCGTTATCCACTTCCAAGTTGCAGCTCATCTCAAATATGCTTCGCGACTTGATGAATTCTATGGCAGCTTCTAATGTTGTAATAAGAAAGTTGGTTTCACTATTGAAATTTGCGCTCACCGAGAATTCCTGCAAATAAACCAGATTCGCTATCCAATTATTGATATTCAACTTTATAATCAAGAATGCAAATAACTGCAGTAAATCTTCTGACGTCAAATTGCTTTCACTGTTGTTGGAAAACAATTCAAAAGTATTCTTCAGGCAACTAATTTTTCCTAAGATTGTCATGTGACTATTCAGTTTTCCTAAAATACACCTAGCATTGCCTATGGCGTACATGCATTTCACACTTGTTCTGCAAAAATCCTTTAACTGCATTCCCTGTAGGTTTCTCACTGTTTTATTAAATTCTGCATCAGCTCTTGATGTTGTTGTGCAGACAGCTTTAAAAACATTTCCATTAAGTGAATTTTCCATAATGCTTTCAACACTCAGTTTGATCTTATTTCTTAAGCTAAAATCTCTCAAGCATCTGCTTTTCAAGTTATTCATACAAAATGTTACTAATACACAATCATCATAGAGTTCTCTGACAGAAATTCTCAACTCACCCAATGTGTAATATAATATATTTTCATTTGCTTCTAAAAATCTTTCACATATCTCAGTTAATTTTGTTAGAATCTCTGTACCTCCTGTTGTTTCTCTGCATAGGAAATCAACACAATCTTTAAATGTGTGTATCTCTAAATTTGTTCTATCACATTCACTATTCCTAAGGTTAAGAGGATGCTCAATACAATATACCAAATATTTGTATCCTTTTAAATACACACTTTCCTTGAATAAAACTCTTACAGAGTCCAGTTGATTGTTCTCTAGATGGATTGTTGCTCCAGACAAAGTTTTGATTTCACCCAACTCTGAATTGCTGATCAGCACATGATCAAAAATATCTTGTGTTGTTACTGGATCTGTGATGGATTGGCTTCTTGGAACACAAAGAATCCAGTTTTCTTGTAAAACCTTCTGCAGAAGATCAGGGTGGTTTTCAATGAAGTATTGATGAAACACATTTTGCTGGATATCTTCATCGTAGCTCGTCATTTTAATATCACTGTAGATGCTGTAATAGCTATAAATAAGCCACGAACTTATTTCCACATTTTATCGTACATTCACAGATAATTCTTAATTTATTTGCAAAAGACAAAACATGTAAATAAATAATTAACTAGGTTATGAGTATTAAATGTCAAATATGGATGGATCACGCCTTGTACGTTTGGTTGCATAATAAATATGAACGTTTTATTTACATAATTGATTTAAAATCTTATTCAATACATGATTAATTTATATGTTAATTAAAAAATATATTAAAAATACGACTTTAGTCAAAGTACAGTAAGTTTTCATATCATTCGTTGCGTGTGTCATCAACATGCACAGCTGTTATTGACAGATGTGTCAGTTGTTTTTTTTTGGTCATAATTTGTTTCATTAATTATATTGTAACCGTATTAAATATGAAATTCAAAATGTAGTGTTTTTAATTTTGCAATTGCCGTGAAAATATTTTATTGCTGCTTTCGTTTTTCACATTATGGAGAATATCTCTGAAGAACTGGGCATTCCTAAGAAGAACCTTAGATGTACACAACAGGATGATAGGTTTGTTGCTACAGTGTCAAAAGCATGGTTGAAAATATTGGTGAAGAATTCGAAACTGTCTGATTTTAATGGGACAGAGGAGAAGGATGATGTTAGAATTCTTCTAAGGGTTTTTGCGAAATGCCAAGATGGCAAGGTTATCCCATTGCCAAGAATTCGATTGGATTCAAAGAAGAATGGACCATTGTCTTTGCATGAACTGTTCCAGTATATACATCAAACAAATTACAAGAATCTGTGGAAGGAAGCCTACAAAAAGTATAATCCTATTGATGTCAATAAGGGCACTCAGATTCTGTTAACTACATACAATGAAGTTCTAAGAGAAATTATATTGAGAACTTATGGATGTGGAATTGTGGATCTTTGCAATGGAAAAAGCAGTAATGTAGATACCACTAGTTCCATTGAATGTGGCAATTTGCTGCCAGTTCTATGTGCTGTAGAAACATATAGTTCAATATACTTAATTCATTATCCATATATTGAACATACCTTAAAAGATTGTATTACCTTCAGCCCTTCAATTCTTAACATGTGTTATACAAAACCATTATTTATTGTTTACCAACTTGTTCAAACCATGAAGCAACTGCATGACAACAGTTTGATTATGGGGGAAATTACATTGAATGATATCTATTTGGAGGAAGATTTGTGGATTTTCATATGTCCCCAATTAACTTCCAATATTTACATGCAGCAAGAGGTATGTAGGAAAATATTTAAATTAATTGCTCTTAATATAATTATTTTTACTATACAGATTGCTGTAACATCTAAAACTGAGATTGTAAATAGATTTGAGAAAAGTTGGGACAAAATACAAGTTCCTAATAACTTGCCATTAGAGAAAATATGCGAATTGTGGATTGGTGGACAAATCTCAAATTATACATATTTGATGGTGTTGAATGGCTTGGCTGGTCGGAGATTGGGAGATCCTAATTGTCACTATGTGTTTCCATGGGTGACGGACTTTTCAGAGCGGAACGGCAAGAATTGGCGGGATCTCAAGAAGTCTAAATTCAGATTAAATAAAGGAGACAGGCAGCTGGATCTGACCTACGAGCATCACATTCAAACGCAACCGCCACACCATGTGTCCGATGTACTTTCAGCAATCACATACTTCGTGTACACGTCTCGAAGAACTTCTAAGGAGGTCTTATGCAAAAATGTGCGAACTGTTTGGGTACCCGCGGAATATCCTAGCTCGATTCAGCGGCTGCAGGAATGGACTCCCGATGAGTGCATTCCGGAATTCTTTTCAGAACCAAATGTATTCAAGAGTATTCATCCTGATCTGGATGACCTTGAGGTGCCTCCGTGGTCCACAAGTCCAGAGGATTTCATTGATAAACATAGGGAGATTTTGGAAAGCCAGCACGTCTCTGAGAGGCTTCACCACTGGATTGATCTCACTTTTGGATATAAGTATGATTATTCATAAAATCCTGTATGAAATGTTTAATGTTTCTTGATATTTAGACTCTCTGGTAACGCTGCGATTAAGGCAAAAAATGTTTGCTTACATTTAGTTGATGATCACACGAATTTAACAACGTCCGGTGTTGTGCAACTCTTTGTTCATCCACATCCGCCCCGGAATGCAACAAGTTTGCCGTTTTGGGGTAAAAGTCCCCCAAAGCTATACGTTCATAAACACCACTCAAGTAAGCTTATTTTAATAACAGATATTGATGATTTGTTATAATTTTACATTTATTTAGAAACCAGAGATAGAAGCTCATCGTCCGCTGCCTCCGTGCTGGAAACAACGAACATTCGAAGCGAGGAAGAAGATCCGCATGAAGATATAAGGTTACTATCAAGAAGTCGATCTTCATTGAATGAGGAACCAAAAGTTAGAACGCATCGGAGTCCCAGCTTAAACAAATCTAATACAAAAACGACAATCCTTTTACCGAAGGAGTTCAATCCGGCGCAGGCTTTGAATCAGCTGGAAAACATGCATAATTTCTTCACAACAACATTCCAGCAACAAGTTAAATCAAACACTGCCTTAGATTCGCCAAGCATTAAGCAAATACTGAACCCTCCACTCCGTAACGCCTTTACAAACCGCTTTTTTGAGCAGTCGAATAATCTAGTTTCCAATAATAAAATAGCGAATTGCAACTACACCGAAATAGTTGCGGCCAGAAGAACTCGAGAACTCCAAATTTTGGGCTGCCTAATCGTCGAGATCTTTATGGCGAAGCAAATGCGCGTTTTGAACAGCGCCGACCATTGCCTGAAGAAGCGCATTCGCGCCTGTCTGTCTGTGATACAAAAAGAAGATTTATTACCGAATTGTATAAAGTTTATAGTGAGAATTCTGTTGAATCCAGCCGATTGCAAGAGCTTTCCGGCGGTCACCGAATTCGGATTACCGCCACCCACTGCCCACCTGATACTTGAGCCGTTGCTGCACAATCATTTAATGCCGTTTAACGAACACTTCAATGCCTTACACTCTCTGATTGAAGAGTTGAAGGACTATGACTGTGTCTTCCGAGAATTGGATTTGTTCTGTTGCGATGGTCGACACAGGGGTGTGTTTATGCAGAACGTGGCTGAATGCAAAGTGAAATCGTTCGCACGCAATTTTGAGGCTAGTCTGTCCAGTGGTCGTCGATTGAGTTCCAAAGATGGCGAGGTTGTTAATATATTGGTGATGCACGTTAAGAATTTGATCGAAGTTCAGAGCACTTCAGTCTTAGCAGCGTGGTACTTATTTGATCCCTTGGCCAGATTGTTGGGGCCGCAGAAGAGCGAAGAGATTTTTCTGGGACCGGTATTGAAGCTGTATGAAACGTATAATGCTAAAATCGCCAAAATCTACCATCACAGTTTCCTGCTTCGGTTGATTGTTAGATTCGGATTACGTTGCTTCTTGGAATATTTCATAGCGCCTTTGGTGGAAGCTGTCGGAGGATATAAAGATAATTATGAAGGGAACAGCGAGGCGTCTTCGGAGAGCGACGACACAGAGAATAATCGTCAGCACGTGCAAGACTGCATTTTTACTTTTGAAAGCGACATCGTAGATCAATTGGAATCAAATTCGGACAGCGACATAACTTTCAACAATTCAGGGGCAGACGAAGCAGTAGATGTAGCCGCTGTCGTAATAAATGAGACCAACTTTGACTCAGCTTCTTTGGGTAAAGGTAACAAAGAACTGTGCAATATAAGTTGCGATATCGGCAGTAAAAAGAGCGTTAAGAGTAATGGTAGTAATGAAAACAGTAGAATCTCGAGCATGAGCGCTGATAGTTTGGATTGGTTATCTCATCGCTTGGGTCCTGTGCTCTCAGCTAGGTATCTCACTAGAAACTTATTGAAAATGTTGACTTTGTGTTACGTCGGTGGAGAAAATTTGCAAGAAGTAACTTCCAATGAAAATGGAGATGGTGGTTTCATCGGAATTGCAAACAGCGGTTGCGTTCTTGGTGATAGAAACGCCTCAAAAGTTATGGATTGTCTATGCAGTATCGCTGGTAATTGAAATTGATTTTAATTTCAATCTCAATAAAACTTAAATGCATTTAATTTCAGCGTTATACGGGGAACAATTGATTTTACTGCAGTACTTACCACACATGGCTGAATTGATATTACTTTGTAAGAGGAAGCTGACGCCCAATTTGGAGGGTGGTCTTATATCCTGTTTAGCTCTGTTAAAGAGAATTGTTCCGTACATGTGTGATGCGACTTTGATGGATCAACTACAAGTATAGTAGACATTAATTTCTTATGTTTTTTAATTGATTTAACTTTGATTTAGGATGTTATATTGAAAAACATAATTCACCCGACCGTGCGTCTCTTGGGATCCATCAAATACACGTTTCCAAATGGTTGCACGGCGCGACGGATTTTGGCACGAAAATATCTGGACACGCTCTACGTTTTGGCACTGAGAATGGGAGCGGACATGTCGAGAACACAACTGGCAGTTCCAGCATTGCAAAGATTCTTCCTGATATTCGATAAAATCGACGAGAGCAACAATCCACCATCGGAATTGCAAAGATCAGAGGCAAATGATAGCGACCAAATCAACAACAGTTTCGAGGAATCTAGCTACGTGGAATTGAGGAGAGATGGTACGACTACAGAGTGGGCGATTGGTGGCAGACCGGTTCAAATTCTGCCTATAGATGATTCGGAAGACAGTTTATCTCCTGTCTTTAACAGTTCAGCTTCTATGAGCGAGGATTCGATCACCAATCAGGTTTATATTTATTTGCTTTTAATATAGTATGCATTATAGGATTTGATTTAAGGCTTTGGACGAGTTGCGGATGGTCTTCAGCGCGGAATTGGCTTACACAGCGTACATGCCTTTCTTGAAATTACTCGGTTTCCAAGCCATGGAATCGTCGCTGAAGAATCACACGTCCGTCTACAACTTGTGTCAGAAATTCGAAGAAAAACTGAAACAGAGCAGGAACTTGGATGCATTGCCATCGAAACCTACAATCGTAGTGGTTTCCGGAAGCCTCGGCAGCAATGTTTCTTTAGTTGGAAATAGGATCGATGTGCAGGAGGATGAAGAGGACGTTCTGAATTTTATAAGCAATAAGATGGAGAACAGCGTGCGGCATCTGCGTGGCAATTGGTTGGCGTATTGGGAGCACGAGATTGGTAGATCTGATAAAGACAATTCCTTCAATTTCAAGCAAATCAAATTACAAACGTTCACGGGTCACGTAAACTCGGTGAAAGCAATCCATGTATTGGACAATGAGAATAGTTTCCTCAGTTGCAGTCGTGATAAAACGGTGAAACTGTGGTCGCTGCGAAGTCAGGGTACTGGTAGCAATGTGACCAATTGCCAATCTACCTACGCTTGTCATAAGAAGGGCGTTTTATCGTTGGCCTTCTTGGAGAGCCTCCGATTGGTAGCTTCGTGTGATGGAGTGGTGCAGTTGTGGGATCCTTTCATGTGTTCCACTGTCGCTCAGTTAGAGCCAACGTCGAAGTGTTCATCTCCGGTTAACATTATTAAATCCCTTGCAGCGCCAAGTCCTATACTGTTCGCGGCCACTGCTGATGCCACCTTAAGGATAATCGATGCAAGATTATGCGCATATTCTTACGAACTCAAGGTAAGACATTATTCAATTATTATTCTAGTCCACATTGTGATAATTAGACTAATTGAAACATTATTTTAGGTGTGTATTGGACCTGTAAGTCTTATACGATGCATGGCTGTGGCTCCTTCCGGTTTGTGGATTGCGGTTGGACAAGCGTCTGGACAAATAACAATATTGGATACGAGGACAGGATTGGTTTTGCAGACATGGCGTGGCCACGAAGGAGAAGTACTGCAGCTTGAAGCCATCGATGAGCAAACTTTGGTGTCGAGCAGTCTGGATCAGACCATAACCGTGTGGTCCGTTACAGATGGAAGATTAAAGTTTCACATCAAGTATGATTATTACATATTGCTCATCGCGGATAATTAATTAATTTGCAATTAATATTTCTATAGGGGTTGCTCTGAGCCGGTACACTGCTTGAATGTGTATAACAATGAGGAGCTGATCACTGGTAGCAGTTCACCGCGAATCGGAGTGTACATGGGAATATCTGAAGACGCCCACTACTCAAGTACCAAACTACGTTCGGACACATTCAAGGGTTTACTGACCTCGATGGCTCTGCTCCCACTGAACAGGCTGCTTTTACTAGGATCTGACAACGGCAATATTTCGCTACTGTGTTAGTTATTAATAATTTAATTTAGAGGATGCAAGCAAATAACGATAATCCGATTTGCTCAAAAAGTTCAATTGGCAAATTCGAACAGTATTACACAATGTATCGTTTCCTACTTACTAGCGCGTGTGTTTGTTTTTATTTCAGTTCTCTAGCGAAGAGCCAACATTCCATCCATATTTTACTGTCTATTTTATAATTATTATGATTTCATGAAATTTTCGCTGATTCGTTTCCATTTTGAATCTGTACATTTTCCAAGATGTCTTTATTCCTCTTTCAAACTGATTTTGTTTGTGTGTATTTAAGTGCAATTGTAGTTTTATTTGAAATTAAATACTAGTCATATGGATCCAATTGTTAAACTGCATTTAAACATTGATTATTCTGAGCGTCTGTGAAGTGTTGGGTTTGTCTGTGCGAGTCTTCATCTAGAAATATATTTGGAATTGTTAAGTTTTATTGTACCTCTAAAACGAATCGGAGGTGGATGAAGAAATAGCATCTAGCTGTTTCTGATCTAGTCTCGGCGGACCAAGTAAGTAGTGTGAGTTGTGAGAGCAAGAGCGAGATGTGCACGTCTAAAATAGAATCAAGATAGTAGCGCCGCGACGCACTTTCGCCACTAGAGCTTGAGCGAATGTTAACCCACTGCGCGCAAAAGAAAGAAAGGAGCAAAAACAATAAAGAAACAAGACTGAAGACCGATAGAATCGGATAGTTTAGGTGGTTGCTGCGCTCGTAAAAATAAGCAGGAGCAAATAGAGCGGCGAAAGCAATTCAAAACAAACAAAAATCGAAGGATTATCTCACGATGGCCTACAGTTGGGACAACAGAGTCAACTTCGTTATAAGCCACTTATACGGTGAGTAACTGCCTGACTTTTAGCGGTTGAATGCACGGAAGGGCTTTCCATTCCATACCGAAAATGCGATCTCTTCTGTTCTATCTTTTGTAATGCAGATATCGACTGCAACGGTTATCTTGATGAAAGGGATTTCGCTTGCCTCGCTCTAAGGGCGACGATCATCGAGGGCAAAGGAGAGTTCAGCTTCTCCCGACTCCAGGAGTATCAACACATTATGATGAGCCTATGGGAGGAAATCGCCGAGCTCGCAGATTTCAATAAGGTTTTATAAAACCCATAACATATAATATTTTTTTATCTCTAACAAAAACCGGCTGTTCTATTTTTATATGAAACAGAGAGAGATCTCCGAAGACCGATTGAAAAATAATCAATCGGCAAATTCATTCACTGTTCATTTGTAAAAGTGAAGGAGACACGCTTAAAGCCCGGCCTCTGACATCATTATTTTTAATTTGAATCACATTTTAAAATAAAAAAAGTTATTCATAGCAAAAATAAATGATTCCCGAAATAAAAACGAACATGTATACGTTTTTCTCGGGACTATAGATATTTTTTCTTTCCGTTTTGTTTGAGATTTCTTACATAATGAACCGTGTCACCAGGAGGCACGTAATTTAGCATAAACATTTCGAATTTGGCTTCGAAGATTATTGACTGCAGTTTTGCAGGCGAGGAGAAATTGATCTAATTTTGGAAAAGAAAAGGCGTGGAACAAAGTAATAAATTGCTCACGTACTTTACTAAAGTAAACGTCAAGTATTACGGGCGTGTGCAAAATTGTTCGAATTAAGGATCTATCACAGGACAATCATTCTAATGACCGTTTTGTACACAATTTTATTTAATGCACCAAAATTGTATGTGAAATAAAACAAATATTATTTATTGGATCATTTTGAAATGAACTTTCTTTACAAATAATTAATACTTACTATATTCATATATTAAAGTATATTAAAAAAAATAAGCAGGTGTAAATACGCCAAAGACTAAAATAACAAATTGCAAGAGCAACTAAAACAAAGGTGGGCAAGCCAAAACGCCAGAGGGGAATTTTAAAAATGCCATAAAAATGTATAATTAGCGTTGGCGTTAGATAAGTCTAAAATTGCAGGGGCCTAAGGTTAGGTAATATTATTGTAGATTCGTGTAATCTAGCATAAAAACGGTTGCTGGAGTTTGGCCAAGAAAAACGACTGATTACAGTAAATTAATTTCACGAGATTTACTACTTTCATACATTTACAATTTACGTTGATTAATGAACGTTAAGATTTATATGCTTAACTTCTATACAATATGATATGGAAAACAATAAATACAAAATATACGTCGTGTCAAATGAGTTCAAATGAATCATGTACATTTTAAATACAATTATTTTTTCCTTCTAAGTAAATTATTATCTTTATATTTCTATTCATTGTAATATAATGCGTATAGAGTTTTGGTAAAGCTATTTTTCATTTACAAATAAAGTTAGTAATAGTAAAATAAATTATACTAACAAATATTTGAAAACAATATTTAAGAATAAGTGATAAATTTCTTGAAATAGATAGAATTTAAATAAAAAGAACATACAGTAGTTGAGATAGCAAAATAAAATTAGAAATAGATTGCTTAGAGAAAATGATCTGATTGTAGTGAGCAAAAAAAAAGTGAAGCAAAACATTGGCATCGACCCATTGCGTAATATCGATATTGAAACAGATGCTATTTTAGAATGACTTAATTGTGTAGCGTTGAAAATAACGTCACAAGTAAAAAAATATAACAAAATTTTTGCAAATAGTTGACTAACTAAAATCTAAGTATTGATTTACAAAAACACATTTTTAATATGTAATTTTTTATTGTTTTCCTTGTATAATTATTTATTTAACGGCAGAGATTTGCAGAGACAATTTTAAGACGGCTGCGACCACGGTTAATCCAAACTTCGGTAAATTGAAACCAGGATAATCGACGTTTTACTAAATAAACAGTTTATTATTGTTATACCAGTGAGATTAGTCAAAATGTTGCAATTTTATACAGAAAAAAATAGTTATTTTTGTGAAGATATTAATAGTGATTATTTTTTATTCAATAGAATTATCAACAATTTAAAGCTTTTTAAGTTACGAATTTGAATGATCTAGGTTTGGTTCCTTAAGTAAAAACAGTAAGTTCAAATATTTTTAATAATTAATAAAATTCAAATGCACTTATTATTTCATCCATTTATTTCCAATAGATACAATTCTAATAATAGGATAATGCACATAAATAAACGTATGAATTTAAGAAACATACTATGCATTAATTAATATCGCATCTAATTAACAAGACGTACATGCATAATATATGAGTTAAAAGAAAATGAATTAAAGATATGCACTTCATAATTTATAATATACAGGCTTGAGTAATTTATGGATGTTCCAGCAAGGTGTCACCAAACGCACAGGATAACGGGTTGTAGATTTATGAAAATAATTACTTCTAATACCTGTTGGGATAGCGCAGATTATTTATGAGCAGTTCCTTCCGGTTGTCACGATGTAATTGAAAAATAACCCAGCTCGGGAATAAGGAGATTACTCCTCTACTTCGTATAATAATATCCTTAAAAAAAGCATACTGTGAGCGAAGAACCGCAGAGACATTCATATAATATAGAACATGCATTTTGCAAACGGTTACAACACGCAAACACAATAATGAAATGCAAGGGCGTTTCCTTGTAAACAGGACCTTTTGCAGGACGGGAAGATCACCACCGAGGAGTTCAAGCAAGCGGTGCAGCAGTGCTGCGTTGGACGGAGGTACGAGGATTTCCCTCAAGCCATGAAGATGTTCATCGACAGCAACTTCAAGATGGTCGATTTGAACGATGACGGTGTCATCGGAGCAGACGAGTACCGTTTCAATTGCATCACGAAATTCGCCATCGATGACATTGAAGTGGTGGACGAGGCCTTCAATAATCTGTTGAGCGTAAGTTGATATGTTGGAGAGAATCAAATTACAGTTTTGCTTTCTTCGCAAAGGATGATGATAGGAGAAGAGGTGGTCTGACCTTGTCCAGGTATCAGGAACTTTACGCTCAGTTTCTGGGCAATCCCGATGAAAATTGTCCAGCCGTTTACCTCTTCGGGCCGCTTTCCGAGTTCTACAGAGAGGAGGAGATCTGAAGGAGGCTCGTGTTACGGGAGACTCTCTGGTTGGGTGAAATAAAATAATCAATCAACTAATTTGCGGGTTTTCAATGTTGAATCGAATCTTTGCAAGCCGCTTGTCCTCGAACCAGATCCTGTTGCTTAGTTACAACCCCGCTAATCCTGCCAGACGAAGTGTCTCTCTCTCCGTCCACGGAGAATCATTGAGCTCCGAAACTCTATAGACTTTTTAATGTATACTTAACACCAGCAAAAGATAGTTTTGTTGATAGTTGCAACATGCTGTCATCAATACCAATTACAAATTATTAAGATTTTCATATACGAATTATTACTTAATTAATAGTAAAATAAACAAAAAAAAACATACACTACACTTTAACACAGTTACCTTTTCTAAATCCATTCTATTTTTTATCATTAATTAATGAAACATATACACAAAAAGACAATTCTATTTTCAGATCAGTTTTGATAAGTTTTATTTTAGCATTGTAAGTATTTTAGATAGTTGTGGTGAGTACAATAACACATGGTAAGTTGTAACGCAACTAAATATTAGTTACTAATTTGTACTTCTTCAAAATACAACCATCAAAAGTTTTTCAACATTTTTTTAAAATTATGTTTAAATTTGTCTCATAATGATACAAAGTAGACATAATAAAAAAATAATATCCTGTATCAAAAGTTTTCCAATTATTTGTTATATTTGTTAATCTTAAGATTATAACATATAAAATATAATTGTGTAAAAACTACTCAATATTTATGTACGTGAATATAAGACAATTTTTTTTGAAAAATTTCAAGTTAATGTAAATATAAACTTCAAATGAAATAAGCATCTAAAAATAGTAAGACTATATTGAATTTACGATCGTAAATAGACTGACTGACTTAATGATTAAATAATTAGTCGGAAATATGTTTGCAGTTTCGGATGCGAAATTATGTGGACAGGTGTCGTGGTCATCTGGTGCCAAGTACGATTGTAAATAATACACAAAAAAAATAAATGTCGTTAAAGTCGTTTCGCGCCAATAAATTTAGCAATGAATTGAAACATGCGATTTTTATCGTTCCATTTCCAATTACCGTCGTAACGAGAAGATGTTTCCAATGTATTTCGGCATCGATGGGAAAAAGATTACTTTTGCTTCGCCGTTTGCGAGATTCGGGAGCGTTTAATGGGCTTTAGCGTTCGCTTGACGAGTGTTTGTAAATAGAACATAAGTAGCTTATATTTCAACTGACATACAGACAAAGAAAAACTACGTGGAAACGAGGAAAGTTGGAATGTTTATTGTACGTATCAAGCGCTATTAATGGCTTACATTACATTAAACGACGCGCTTAATATTCCGATTTCATTTCATTTGGATACTGAAAACTTCATCATCCTAGGTTATTATATCTATTTTTCATCATTGTTAATAAAATTATATTTAAATAACAATTTGGTATTAAGATCATTTAGATTTTGGTCCCAATAATCGTATAAAAAATATATTTCTGCAGATTTCAACTTATTTAAGTGCTGGCGGCTCCCTAGCTTCCCGACCAGACGCACATCGCCATTCGACGCCTTCATCTGTGATTTCGATGACATCTTCTTCGCTATGTGGCCTTGTAGTCATCTTATCCAGGTGCTGTGCAAAGAGCAATGCTGAACTGTGTCCTCTTCTTCGCCACACGCACAATCCGATGACTCTGTTTGCTTGAATCGCTCTCCTGGTGAGGTAGCTCGCCATTCCGCGATGGACGGGATACATTCTCTGGTCCAGACACCAGTCTCAGAGCTGCTCCATCTACTCTGCCAAGATTCGGGGGGCAAATTGAGGGTTCCCATAGAGTACTTAGCGTAGTTAATGGGATGAAGACTAGTTGCTTGCAAGTCAGATTCATCAGCGCCAGATGCAGATCTAGCCAGTTGGTCTGCCCTCTCATTACCTTCATTCCTGACGTACGCCTTAATCCAGTGAAATACTAGCTGGATCCGTGTCCCTGCTAACTGTTTAACTAGCTCCCGGGTCTTGTGCCTGCAGATTACAGCAATACCTCGCATAGTCCGGTTTCACTACATTACTAAAAGTTTAATCTGTATAAAGAAAGCTTACTTATGTACAGTGAAACCTCGCTTAACGAGTTTAATTCGTTTCAAAATTTCCGGATTTTTACTCGTATAGTGAAACATATTCAAAAATACTCATAAGATGTGTATACAAGTTTTAAAAATGATGTTGCAGGCGCGCAATCCGGGACTTCTCTTCTCATCGTCATTCATTTTGCTCGTTAAATGAGGTTCCACTGTAGTTCCACTAGTTTTAATTATTTCTCATTCTTATAAAAAGCATATTTCCATTATTGAGAATTTATGCATTTATTAATTTAAATTCTTATTAAATTAATGAGAGTTGTTGAATATTTATTTCATTTTCCACTCAGCAAAGACCGCAGTTATTAAATAAAGTTGTATACCTGATGATGCATATATTACTTAGCTATGCATTCGTCCTCCACTGCATTTGTATTTATAAGTGAATTACTCTCATAAATTAAGTCTTTAAAACTTATACTTTATTACTACTTATTTTGTCTATATTGTTTTTTTTGGTATTTTATATTATTCTTATGATAATAGAAGGAAAATTTACTAAAACATAGATAATTTAAACGAAATTTATTTATCTGAAGAGTTTTGATGAATTGTTATTGATATATAATTTAAAATTAGTCTAATGAAGAAAGTTATAAGTTTTTTTTGTATTCTATTGTAATATTGAAATTAAGACGATTTCAGTGGAATAATTTCTTTGAAAAATATCTGTAAGAGATTTTAATATTCTATTTGATTAAGTGTCATTGATATATAAAAAATATATATTCAGAATTTACTAATTATATAATTTAAGTTAAAGTTATTCAAGTAATTATGAATTGGCTGTAATTTTGAAACTGTTATAATGTGGATTTTATTTTATTTACTTATGTAAAGGAATATTAAAGGAAATAATAGTAATAGAATAATTTAAAAAAGTAAATAAATATTTTCATTTTTTAGTCAAATTTTAACTTTGACTTTATAATAACAGTATTATTTGATTGTTCCTTTTTTATAAATCTATTAATTATTATCAATATTACAAAGTAATAAATATATTAAAAAATTATGTTAAGAAAGTGATGAAGACAAGAATAAAGATGTGATGGATTCTATGATATTTATTGAAATCTCTGGTGTCATTTGGGGGAGTTGTATAGCAACGAACGGGATTCCGTGTGCCCAGTGCCGCCCTGGATTCGTTCAGTCTCGTCAGTGGACCAGCATCGGAAGCAGCGCCCTTTTGGCAGCACTCAGTAGCAAACCGTATTCCGAAACACACCCAAATCCTGCAAAAAGTAGAAATAAACCATCCCAAATAGTAATATTTAATATTAACGAGAGGTGAGATTCATGTCCACAGTCTATATAAATAAATAATGATAAAATACCTTATTTCCTTTTAAAATTTATTATTTTCATTTCTTTTCATTTTTTAATTGAATTCTTTCAGTTGGCGCTTTCAATGTACTTATTGTTTCTTATTACTCTTTTGTTTAATGTATTAAAAAAAAAATAAAAATAAAATAATAATATATAATCAAAAAAAATAATTGGCTGCTGCATTTATGTGTGCTTATCTGAATGAAAAGTTATATTTAAGAGTTAAGTTTAAGTTAAAAAAAAGCTGCTTTACAAATTGTTTTGTACTTGTTTTGGAAACGAGAATTACAGCAATTAATGAATGAATGTACGCTTTCGATATGCTCAACAGAAGAATGTCGCTTTTGTTGTCAATTTTAAAAAGTTTAAGAAAATTGTACAAAAAGGCAATATAAATAATTTTTAGACGACGCCTTCAACGCCATGAAGACTTCTTCGTTTTCGCTCCGCGTCATGCGCAGGGTAAGTAGATTCTGCATTCATATAACTCTTACATCGATAATAACAATTGCCTATGCAGCTTTGATCCGCACGGGCGTCGCGACGTCTCCAATAATCAAATTTTTGATTTTGCGCCCATATTTTTGCTCTCCCCGCCTCAAAATCACTGTAGGCGTTAGCTGTGTTGCATAAGCAACCAGAAACAATTGCACGAAAGGTACGCCAGGTGGCAGTTTTGCTGGTATTTTGTTGCATCTTATGTAATTAACGTAAAAGGATGGATGTGCAGTATATTACTTGCACCGAACACGGTTTATTGATCAATGGCAATGACACACACTCAACACCAGTGTATTTTACTTGACCTATATACCCTGACCTATGCAAAATGCATTGTAATAATTGATATGCATATTTATAATCACCAATTTTCAATTCTATATTTAGAATAGTTTCACCACGATTTTGCATTCTTAATTATCATTTTTATAATTGATATTATTTTCAATTCAGTCTCTTTTAACGGTTTTGAAATAACATAAATTATTTTCAAAATTCAACACTTTAAAAAAAAAAAAAAAATATTGTCGTGTCCCGGGATTCAAATATCACTGGACACTGTGGAATATCTCGTAGTTATGTCGTTGTCGAGTCCTAGTGGAGTTTTTAAGGAATGTTATAGAGGTGAATTTGGAGTTTTTATGATAATAAACGCTTTATTATTCAGTATAAGATTATTAATAACTTCTATGTCTAGATTCCAGTTGCTAGGTATGTTACTAGGGTTTTATGAGTCTAACTAGGACTCTCGTCTAAGACTAGGACTAAAACTAACTAGGACTAAAGACTAGCTAGGACTAGGACTAACTTTGTATTATATAAACATCCTATTTTATAGCAGGGAATTAACATAGTGGAACTATAATATTTGATACGGGAGGATAAGACTTTTCCGAAGAATGTATTGGACGATTGTACTTAACATTCACTCATTAAGTGATTAGGCGGGTGTACATTTTAGTGGTCCTTACATGATAGTCGCTATAAATTGATTAGTTGGAAACTTCCTAATTGAAGTTTGTACTAAGTCATTAAGAAGTATATAAACATACATGAATAAAATAATAAATGTTAATATAATATAACC